TATATATATATATATATATTTATGTCAATAACAATGATAAGCTCTAAACCTTTTTACTTTTTAATTTATTGATCTAACAACCAATCACACAGCAGACATGTGCAACAATGAGAATCTGAAGTGTGTGTTGATATTAGAGATGTACTGAATTTTCAGCCACCGAAAATTTATCAGCTGAAAATGTGTTAGGCCGTTTAATGGACCCTCTATTTTTTGTGGCTTCAGTGATTGTTGGGATGCTCTTTTAAATATGGAAGTATTAACAACTTCTATCAAGATATATATTGTTCTCGTTTAATATGGAAAATTATTATCGAGATTGCATTTTTGCCATATCGCCCAGCCCTAAATAATAGTATTCAAATATATTTGAAAAAGACAACATATGACAATATTACAATTTTAGCTGTTTTTGATTAAAGTAAATAAATAAAAATAATCAATCAGCTAATATGTTGGTGAAATGGTACTAATTTTGAGACTATTCTCACAGAACATGTACCCATTCCACTGCGCATACATTCCTTTTGTTTTTCTACATAAACGTCACAGATGGACGTGTTTGTCTGACGCACCTCATTCCTTCATAGCAGCGTCTCACTCATAACGTCATGTCATTCTACAAACAACGGCTCTCAAGTTCAACAGAGTCCCAAGGTCTTGTGTTTTCTCGGGATCTTACATTTTTTCAAAGCAAAAACAAAGTAGTAAAATTTGAAGCGGATCAAAAACAGTTTACCAAAATGTGGGTGTTGTTTATTGGTTTAGGCCAACTTTTGTATCCATTTATATGTTGACTACTGTATTATTATATAAACAACAGCCCCAAGCTAATCTCATGATTTTCTTCAAGCTTCTTCTTACATGATTGCACTAACCACAACCTCTTTGTTTCAGGACTCATTTGAAATTGGAGGGTCTGGAGTACTGCCATGTTCTGTGTGGAGAGGACGACTCAATGTTCGACACGCACGGCTGCCCTGCGTACGTGAGTCCTGAGATACTGAACGGTGGAGGCTGCTACTCGGGCAAGCAAGCAGACGTGTGGAGCCTTGGTGTAATGCTGTACACAATGCTGGTGGGCCGCTATCCTTTCCATGACGCAGACCCTGCAACCCTATTCTCTAAGATTCGACGAGGCACATACTGCCTCCCGGATGGACTGTCTTTAACGGCGCGCTGCTTGCTTCGCAGTCTCCTCAGAAAAGACCCCGGTGAAAGACTGACCGCCGCCGAGGTGCTTATTCACCCGTGGTTCAACAGCAACATTCAGGACAGCCGAAATCCAGAACAGGAGGTGAACCTCAGAGAACAGACAGTGCCCCAGATAGAAATGGAGCAGGACGAGGATCTGTTCTCCTGAGGAAAGCAATACACAGTAGCTTGAATGTGGACCAAATATGGTGTTTTGTTTTCTTATACAGATTTTGTAATAGATTCAGAAGTATACACTCACTCGAAGTACTGTATCATCCGTGTCGGGTTTAAGGACTGTGTGTTATGAAGTCTTTTGGTGCTAGTGAACCGTTCTCGTGCTGTGTGAAGTGTATGAGACTGGGCATTATGGGTCAGGTGATAATAATAATAATGAGTAGGTAATGGTGACTAACCTCAGCCTATGGGCCAGATCTGTTCCAACTCTTACTGTCTAAACTAGTCGACTCATCACTGAATTATGCAGTACAAAAGATATAGGTCTCTTGACCTATAACAGATGTTTTCAACTAAAAACCAAAAACACTGTTTGCGTTTTGGCAGTTCATTTACAGAATAACAGCATTTTAAGGACCTGAATTCAATGGGTTTCAAAGTGTAATTTTTTTTGTCATGCGCATTATTTATTCAGTCTGCAGGCATGTGTGAGTACTTGACAACCAAAACAACAATGGTGGATTACATGGGTTCGTTCTTCATACCTCGCTTAAATGATTGACAAATCCTGGATCTTTTAATCTTGATAACTGATTTCTGGAGATTAGAATGTCTAGATGAACGGAACTGAGATCGCTGCGTGTGTTGTGAAGGACAGATCTATCGATCCTCAAAATCAGGATCATAAATGACATCATCTGATTAATATTCAATTATGACTGCCCCATGGCAGTCTTTGTCTTTTTATTTCGGAGTGCAGATTGTTTTATTTATATATTTTTTAAACTTACATTGCTATATATACACTTGCTATATACAAGTGCTACATACACTATATACACTATATACAAGTGCTACATTGCTATATACACTATATATATATATATATATATATATTTTTTTTTTTTTTAAACGATTTATTATTTTCTCCTAAGTGTATATAACTACTACTGTAAGACAATATCAGCATTCGGTACATACTTTCAGAATTACCTTTGCTTGAAATGACCCGATCTAATCCTGTTTATATGATATAAGCCTGCTCCCGAGCAGGTTTGAGCTACATGACCTGTTGCTATGACAACAACTCTCAAATGAGTTTTGAAGGACGAAATGATCCTGGATCATGTCTAATCATCAATAATAACCAAATCAAGCTAATTGAGTAATCCACATATGAAGAACGGGCCCAAGGACTGTATGTGCACATGTGCGTAGTGTTTCCTTACAAAGTCACCTCCACCCACTGACCATTTTTAGTTATTGTCATGAACATTTGTATCCGAAGCTTTGAAAAATTGCAAAGAAACTTACATCTTTGCTGTGTTAGTACATCTTTGCTGTGTTAATGTACCCCCAGACGCCCTTATGGAGGACTAGAAGTGCCACTTAAATCATATAATGAAGAAGCAATTATCAAACAGATATGTTTGAACATTTTAATATATATTTTTACTTTGGAATATAGTTATATAAAAATAAATGTTTTAAAACACAGATGGTTATAAATAACATCACATTGTTGCTGCATTTTAAGTCCATGAAGACAGTTTTATACAGTGATATTAAACTGATATTAAACTGTCCGAAAACAAACAAAAAACATCTAAATATGCTCAATATGTCTTTTTATTTACATATAAAATCAATTCTTAATAGGACATGTGAAAATTGGACGGATGTGTATCACTAATTGAAATAAACATTAAAATTTATGTATATAATTGTCCATTTTAAAAGCGTATTCATGTATATAGCTAGCTGAATTCATGAATCATTTGGTGGCACTTCCTCCTACACACTATAAGCTGTTTTAAATCAATGATACTGTTTGCTATCCTGACTCGCACCTCTCAGAATTGCCAAATTGTACAGAAGAGCTGGTCAAAGGTTAAATGTTAGTTATTGACCTTTAAGACTCATCCACAATGAAGAGGTTACCATTACAAACATATTCTTAAATAAAGCAGATTTACAGTAAATGTTCAGGACAACCCTCAGGAAAGTCACAGACAGATACAAAGTATCTGTCTTCTAGTCACAGTTTCCTTACTTGAATCCAAAGGATCCTCATAAAAGCACGAGGTTTCAGTATGGTTGGTTCTGTGGGTAAGATAAAAGATGACTCAAGAGCTGGGCATTGGTGTAATGAAGAGGAAAGGGCTATGAACCCAGATGAATGTGCTCAGTATATGTATCTTTAAAGAAGAGAACTATATGACAATAGCACTACTGTATGGGTAGAGTGTCCTATAAAGGTCTCCTCGTTTTGGGGGTGGACGTTACCTCTGAATTGCAGGCATAATGGCGATACGCTTTCTGAAAGGCTCTTTATAAACAAAGGCTAGAGGGTATGCAAAATGTCTGTCTCATGCATGCAGCACATGGGGGAAAGCTGACACGAGTGCACAGAGTTCATATTGCACTGTGAATTATGTATTTGTGACACAAACCTCAAGGCACGACCGTGAGGGTTTAGTGGTTAAAATTCGTTGTACAAATGAGCATGTGTAAATATGTACATTTTAAGTGTGTGAACAGAAGTGAATAAAGATTACTCTTTCTTATTTACATAAGTGGTGGATTTTCTTATGTGAAAACTTCTTTCTAAAAGTAGATTGCATATTTTTAATTGTTAAATCCAAATTATGCAATATAAATATCCCTAACCTGCCTAGTTAACCTAATTAATCTAGATAAGTCTTTAAATTTCCCTTTAAGCTGTATATAGGTGTCTTGAAAAATATCTATTAAAATATTATGTACTGTCATTATGGCAAAGATAAAATAAATCCGTTATTTGAAATGAGTTATTAAAACTATTATGTTTATAAATGTGTTGAAAAAAAAATATTTTCATCAAACAGAAAAAAATAAACAGGGATGCTAATAATTCTGACTTCAAATATATAACTACAAAACTCCAAAAAAGTTCCATGCGCTAAATTTATGTTAAGATAACATAAATAAATTAATTTAACTTATCAATTTTTACAAATTTCAGTGGATTGAACATAAATAGTTAAGTAGTCCCCAAATAACCTCATGAGTTGTGTTGTTTCAGCTCATTTTAAATAGGTAGTTTGAACAAACAGCAAATGTCATTATTTAAATGTACTTATAATATTAATTAAATAAATCCCAGCAAACACAATGTCATAAGACATTAATAATAGGTTAGATTTAGGTCGCCAGCATCTAAGGACTATGTTATTTTGACGTCCAATAATGATGTGAAATGAGTTGATATTTTGTTGATTATAGGTTGTGTTGAAATGTGACCAAATCCAATGGTGAGCCAACATAAACCTAAACCAATGTCATATTGATGTCAAATACTGACATTTATTCATAAGGTATGGCAATCATAATCCAACGTCTGATAGACGTCATATTGGTAACTTCCACCCAGCATCAAGCTGTAACATTAGACATTGATATTTCATTGCTAAAAGTTTTTAGGTTGTGTTGGAAAGTAACCAAAATGCAATGTCTATCCGATGTTGGACATTGATGTCAGCCTGATGTTGGGTTCTGACTACAACCTGATTTTCATTTCCAAACAAAATGCAACAACCCACGACGCTGGGGTACACTGTAATAAAATTCAGGGTTCCACACAATTCATTTATTTTGTCCCAACACAAATCAACTAAGTTAACATAACAAATTTTTGTGAATTGAACATAAAAATCAGATTCCAAAATAAAAACATCCAGAACTGGATATTGCTTTAAGCTTATACTAAATAAGCAGTTTGAACAAGCAGCAAAAATGTTTTTTGAGTGTACAACATCAATCTGATGTCATGTTGAAGTCCTGTACCTGCTGGGATCACCTAAATATACTTAAGGGAAATTCACTTGTTTGTCACAGTTAGATACACTTTTATTATTGTAGACTGTAAATAATCTGTAAATTAACAGTTTGATGTATTTAGTGATTTTTTTTCTCATTAGTTTATACTTTGAATTGCTTTACGGAATCCTGAGGTTTCCTTCAACAACTTTTGATGTTTAAAGTTTAAAAATGTTACCTTTATTAACTTTTTAATAGTTTTAGGTGATATAGTATATGGGTTGGTGTTGTGAATTATTGTAGAAAAAATGTTAATAAACTGCAAGCACTTTTCTGATATTTTACATAATTTTTAATTCTCTATTCAATATATTACTGTTTTACAATATGTTGTTTCAAACTACTATAATGTCAATAAAAGTCACTCTGTTCAACTACAAACTTGAATTTTCAACATATGTAGACAGAGCAAAAACCAAGGTCATTTATTCATTCATTTTCTTTTCGGCTTAGTCCCTTTATTAATCAGAGGTCGCCACAGCGGAATGAACCGCCAATTTACGCAGATGATGCCCTTCCAGCTGCAACCCATCACTGGTAAACATCCATATACACTCATTTACACACATTAACTACGGCTAATTTAGTTTATTCAATTTACCTATAGTGAATGTCTTTGGACTGTGGGGGAAACCGGAGCACCAGGAGGAAACCCATATGAAGACGGGGAAAACATGACAACTGTTAATTAACACACATTATTTAGTGTATGTTTGCATAAATGTAATTTATAATCATAATAATTCTTTATTTTAACCATAATATGTTATATTTAAAGCTTGTATATTTTACATGCATTAAATTGTATAAGTAATACAAATCAATGGTGTTTTTGCTATCAGTAAGTTAATGTTATCATTTTTATAAATAAACTGAATTAGTTTTTGTTTTTATTTTCTGTTTTGGTTTTCATTTTAGTGAAACTTTTAACATTTTTTTTCAGCAATACTTTACCCACATTTTGAAGAAAATGTTGCAATTATGAAGTTACACAAACATGTATTTAAGTGGGTGAAGTATACATTTTTTAAAAATGTTGGGTTCCAACACAATTCCTTCATGTTGTCCCAAAGGTTAAGTTAACTTAACTGTTTTTATGAATTTAAGTGGATTGAAAATAAAACAATAAACTTGACTTGTCCACCAAAAAAAAAAACTCAAGAATTGTGTTGATTCAGCTCATTTTAAGTAAGTAATTTGAACAAATAGCAAAAACATTTTTTTTTGTGTGTGTATTCTATAATATTATTTCATAACATCCCCTTTTTCTGTGTGCTTACTTTTCAACTCAACCTCTGTCCTAGAGTGCTGAATTCAGGCCAGAATGAAAGAGAAAGCTTAATGAGCAGTTTGACCTGAGAGTCAGGTAGTTCCGCCCCCTCCACTATGACATCACACTATCTTGCGTAAGGGCCTGATTGGGTATCAACAGAGTCGCTGGAGCGTCTCTGTTGTTGGGCTACTGCCAAAGAGCGTTGCACGCCATGGAAGCAATTGCCAAACATGTCGGAGCCGGCCTTGGGTGACGCTCTTATAAAAAGTGCCACTGTTCGTGCACTACTCATATTATCTTGACACTAGTGACATTATGAGTCACTACAGAGTGCATGAAGTTGTCTCGGAATCAAAAGATGATGTGATGGGATAAGGTCACATTTAAGGGCCTGTTAGCGGCTTAGTTTTGATATGCAGTCAGGCTTTTGACGTGGTGATAGATAAAGGGGTGTAAAGTGGCTCTGTAACAACCTGCGTCACAACGTGTCAAATGCATGGACTATTAATCCGCCTGAAGTGATGGTAATGCCGTCAGCTATCAGTGGCAGGACTGAACTGTCTATAGAGACTTGATTTGAAGATTTACAAGAGCACCCCCGGAGCCATTTGCGATGTATTTAGTTTACCGACAGTACTGGTTTAAAGACAGTTTGCTGTTATTAATGTCAGATTCTAGAGTTCTGTGCAGAAATAAAAAGAGCTGGTGATCAAAGAGTGAAACT